ATTATTAATGTTAGCGAAGTTCTAAATTTAATTTTATGCTGTAGGAATTTAATGATATTTTAGTGCTATGTTAAAAAATGCTAGTTTTATGAGTTTTATTTAAAAGTCCTAATTTTAACCAGATGTCATATAAACAACATAGCACTAAAAACAGAAATAAAAGAAAACATATATTAAAAGCTAATCCTGATGTATATATGTATCTGCCCACTTACATCTATATTCCTAGTTGGAATGTAATTTCATATGACCTAATCCAGTGCTCCGCAACCTTTTTATCGCCGCGGACCGGTCAACGTTTGTTAATTTTACCGCGGCCCGCTTAGGGGGAGGATGTTGACTGTTTATATTTTAGACTGTTTTGATTTAATAATTTTAAATTAATTGTGTATTTAATCGTGACATCTGAATAAAATATGGTTACACCAAAAAATGAATATAAAGTGATTTAACAAAGAATATTAAGTGATTTTCATATTAGTAGCCCAAACCCAAGAAAAATATACCACAGTAAATAAAAGAGAAATTATTTAATGTTTCTTGTGCGGACCGGTAGTATTTGATCCACGGACCAGGAGTTGTGGAACACTGATCTAATCTACTTTACCGTGTTTACTATTGTTTCTATATAAGCAGCAGCAGGGCCAGCTCTAGGGCCGTGGAAACTGAACTCATGTCCAAGGCGGCACTTAAACCGGATTTGAATTTTTTTTTTTTTTCTGTTACGAAAAAATTGGCAAGAAAATATTTTTTTGAAATTTTATCACTTATATTTTGGAAACCTGGTATTTTATTTAAATACCTGGAATTTTATTTTAGACTGAATTGAAATGCCAACTACTGCTAGTAAAATTTGTATAACGACTATATCTTTTTTAAAAAATAAAAATTACACTGCATGGTAATTTGTTGTAGCATGTATATGGGCCCCCGACCTCAGGATAGAGGTACAAACGATTATCTTTTGTATATGGTATTACTACGTTAAGGAGTCTTAGGGGTGAAAATATAAACAATTTTCAAACAGGTAGAGTTCTTTTAAATTTAAATTAAATAGTTCGAATCTTTTTACACATTATTTACAAAGGATTATGGCTTCAAAAAAGAACAAAATGCTTGAAATATACTCATAATTTTTCTGCTCGCAACAGAAAAAGTTGAACGAGCTGATAAAATCAAAATTGCTATCCTGCTGAAATTATTGGGCAGTGAAAGACTAGAAATTTACAATACCTTCAAGTTTGAATCGCCATAATCGAAAGCGAATTTTTCAGATGTTCTTCAAATATTTGAAGAATATTGCTCACCACGACAGAATGTTATTTATGAGCGATATAAATTTTTTTCATATGACCAACTGGAGAGTCAAACAATTGAATCTTATGTCACTCATCTAAAGACTATAGCATCCATGTGCTAGTTTGCAGAGCAAGAAAATGGATTGATTCGAGATCGCATCGTCTTGGGAATTAAAGACAGTGGATTACAAGAACGACTCCTTCGAGAAAATAACTTGGTGTGGTATGGTAGTTAGGAGAGGGGAGTGCCAGCTCAGGTGTCGTCCACGTCACTTGACCATGGTTCAAAATTACGTGGTCCGTCGCCAAAAGCCCTCGTGTAGCTGAACAGTGCGACGTTAATATTCAATCAATCAATCAATCGAGAAAATAACCTTAGTTTAAAAAAGCGATTGAAATCGTCAGGGCAGCTGAAGCGATCCGGGAACAAATCCAAAATTTGAAATACGATACAGCCACGGTAAACTTAGTGAAAAAGGAGAATCAGAACAAGCCTAAAGCCCAGTATGACTGCAAAAAGTGCGGACGAAAACATAAGCCTCGAGAATGTCCAGCGTTCGGAAAAATTTGTGCTAAGTCAGTGTTTCTCAAACTATGGGGCGTGCCCCCTGGAGAGGGGCGAGCATATTAAAAATAAAAGGTTAAAAAATAATTTTTTGGAATGAAGTAAAACAAAATGCTTTCTGACATAATAAAAAATACACATTTACACTGATATAATTTATATACGTATATCATCTGTTGATCATCAAAAATAAAAGCTTCCATTTCAAACGCTCATTAGCTATCTTTGATCCTATAAGCCAAATAAAAAAAGACATTTTGTTTGCTTTGCTGTAATCCCACGATGAGAGATTTTTTTATTACGTTTCTTTTAACCCCCTAAAATACTACTTTTCATTATCATATATTTGACCTTCAAACTTACTGGTATGTTTCACTCCGTCTCTTTTTCTTTTAGGAAAGTTGCAAATAATATTTTTCTGTTGCTTTTTTTCCCATGCGAATGAGTTTTATGATATATGGATAAGCATATTGAGCACTTTGAAGGATTATTTGGCCAAGGTGTATTTTTATGAGTATTCTGAAACATATAATGCATAATGAAAAACGTTTTACACAATTATTTTTTAGAACTGACATCGATATTTTTTATTGAATACACTTTTAACATGTGAGCTGTTGCATGAGGCGCTAAGTCAACCCAGTCTCACGAAATCGTTAATTCTGGGAAAACTGTTTATTCGTTAACCGTGACCTTGACAGTATCCTCCTATTAGACAGTCTTAATGGGAACAAAAATGGATTTGTCACAAATATGCCTCTTTTTTGAGAGTGGCAAACGTTTTTACAATCACGTTACTAGTTTTGATCGAGTTCCCTGCGCTACCACTTTTGTTCAAAAATATTTTATATGAACATGCTACACTTTCCCCCATGAACAATTTTGTGGTTTTGATTGTTGTATTGTACGACTTATTATGGTTTATAAATGTAAATGAGCAGAATATAAAAGAAAAACTGTGTGTGAACTTATGTACGCACATAAGAAGTTATACTTCTTTGGCGCAACAATATTAAATCTTTCTAAGAATCTTTAGCAGGGCAAGCTGGGCCAAAGACGAAAGGCGGTCAGGAGCAGAGTTGAACGATACTAACCTTCAGTCAATCGGACCAGCCAAACCTGAGATAATCACGATTTAAATAAATTCAAACACCCCCGCACAAGGACAATAAAACCAATAACATGGGGGGTTTCAGACTGTATCTGGAGATGAAGTGAACCGAATGTGACATCTGAGACCTCATATTGAATGTCTCGGTGGGAAGAATTCTTCCTGAGAAAATTAAGACATCTGCTTAAAAGAGCCCCGAGTTATGGTCATTTTAAAATAATTAAAACATTTAAAACAATTAAATAAAATAGAAAAAGGGCACCCAGCAACTCGAAACTGGGCTTGGTTGTGAGTAAACACAAGAGGAATCCATTAGAACCGGTCCAGAGTCTGTAGTTGCAAATTGGGGCGGCGCTAGCTCGGTAAAGGAAAGCGGAATTAACCCCCCTCCCCGGAAGGGAACAACTGTGACGTAAATGGTCAAGTACATCCCAACGATACACAGAGTAGTAGGTGATCCCGAAGTTTCATCCTTCTATCTCTGTAATATCGTTACGTCATCAAATGATCGAACCCCATAAGAAAAACATAGGGATTCTAATTTTAGTGATAACGCCCACCCTCTAAGCCCACTATCTACACACGAATTATAACAGATGAAACAGTTCAATGAGGAAAACATATGGTCCGAGTTTCTTTAACGAATCTCAAAAATCATCGGAGCTATGCGGGATTTAAAAAAAAAATTAACTTTAAAATAATTTTAAAATGTTAAATATGGGTAAAGAAATGGGGCTATGGTCTTGAAAAAATATATCTAGGATGCTCATAGGAAGAACAATCGAATCAAGCCGGTGTGGTCTACCAAGGTGGCATAGGATTCGAGTTATTTCTGGGGAAGCCCTGTAGGGGGAGGAGGCCAATTCCACGTAAGGCTCACGCTAATACGAAAATATGGCGGACCTCCAGAGATCAAGTTCCAAGCTCAATTCCTTAGAGGGGGGTGAAATTTTTTCCAGTCCCCATAGGATTAACATGTGAGCATGATATTTTAGTGCTTAAGCCCTCCCTATGCCTACACAATGGAAATGGAGCAGATGACTGGATAGGTCTCGACAAGTGAATACTTGGTTCAAATCTCAAGTCAGAGACTCGAACAGGAGCCCAGATATTGTGAATTTAAATAAATTTAAAAAGTTTAAGACAGTTAAAAACTATGGAAAAAATAGCCCTATGAGCATGAAATTATAACTGGAAGAGCAGATAGAGGGATCGAATGAGCCAGGTCCTAAGGGACTGAGGCTCGGGTGCCGAGATATTGGCCAAAAAGCTGTAGAGGGGGGATGCGTCCCAACAGATATGGTTTATAACAATAGTTATTATGATCCCCCAAACATCAGTCCCATAGCACCAAAAAAGTGGCTTGTTAAAATATTAGAGAACGGTGTGTGCGCGCGCATCAGTGTCGTGATGGTATGCGCGCCCATCGTAAAAATTTATCCTCATCCTTTTTCCCTAACGTCCAAAAAGAATAACTTCAAAAATAAATATACGAATACACAAAAGGCTCTTATAATTTAATACAATGTAATATATATAAATGTGTTTATGTTCATCGCAGTGCGTTCGTAGTAAATACATCTATAATCATATACTTGCAATTGTTATTTAAATAGGTAAACTAATATTTACTCTTATGTTTTATGTACATGAAACAAAATTTAAAGAGTAATTTACTAATTTTTTTTAATTTCCTGTAAGTATGTTTGGTTTAATAACAAAAAGTGTTCAAACGAATGCATCAGAGAAGCTCCGTGGGTGAAGGACGATCTCTCCCTGCAAGTAGTGACGTCAGAAATCAGCACAAAGCAACGGTTCGCAGATACGGGGGTATAGCTCAGTGGTACAGCATTCGACTGCTAATCGAGAGGTCTTCGGTTCAAACCAAGGTGTCCCCTTCTTCAAGGAAGTGAAGAGAAATATTTTTTGAGAATTTCGAAGGCGGGAATGATCTCTCCCGTTCTGTATATTTCTAGACAAAGCATTTTCGTATCCGTTCCTACGGAAAGCAAAGGTTCATTGACGCGGGGGTATAGTTCAGGGGATAGAGCATTCGACTGCAGATCGAGAGGTCCTCGGTTTAAATCCGGGTGTCCTCTTCTTCAGGTAAGTGAAGAGAAATATATTTTTCTTTTTGAGCATTTCTCGAAGGAGGCAATGATCTGTCCCGTTCTGTATATTTCTAGACAAAGCATTTTCGTATCCGTTCCTACGGAAAGCAAAGGTTCATTGACGCGGGGGGTATAGTTCAGTGATAGAGCATTCGACTGCAGGTCGAGAGGTCCTCGGTTTAAATCTGGGTGTCCTCTTCTTCGGGTAAGTGAAGAGAAATATATTTTTCTTTTTGAGCATTTCTCGAAGGAGGCAATGATCTGTCCCGTTCTGTATATTTCTAGACAAAGCATTTTCGTATCCCTTCCTACGGAATGCAAAGCAAAAGCTAACTGACGCTGGGGTATAGCTCAATGGGAGAGCATTTGACTGCAGATCGAGAGGTCCTCGGTTCAAACCCGGGTGTCCTCTTTAGGAAAGTATAGAGAAATATTTTTTTGAGAATTCCGAAGGTGGCAATGATCTGTCCCGTTCTGCATATTTCTAAACAGAGCATCTTCGTATCCGTTCCTACGGAACGCAAAGCAAAGGTTCACTGACACGGGGTGTATAGCTCAGTGGTAAAGTAATCGACTGCAGATTGAGAGGTCTCCAGTTCAAACCCGGGTTTCCCTTCTTCAGGGCAGTGAAGAGAAATATTTTCCTGAGAATTTTGAAGGCGGCAATGATCTGTCTCGTTTTGTATATATCTAGACAAAGCAATTTCGCATCCGTGACGGTGCGAGCACCATCGTAAAAATTCACCCTCATCCTATTTCTCAAACGCCCCAAAAGAAGTATAACTTCAAAAATGGGCATCTGTGATCTCTATTGAAGGAATTTGAAACTGATCAAGCAATTGAAGAACCTGCTGAAAAATAATGCATATTAACCATGATAGAGCGAAAGTAAATATGAGAAAAGCGATAGACATGAAATGTTTGAGTTGAATTGAAATTTTCAAATGCTGCTTAAGAACTCTATGAAGAAAACTATGAAGCCATAAATGTAGCACTTCGCCTTGTCAAAAAGACACAAGGAAGAAAAAGTTCAAAATGATATTTGTAGCTCATCAAACGACAGCAAAACTACAATAACGTAAGCAAAATATGACAGGTTTTACTGGAAAATAACGTTCCTGTTAGCGAAAAGTGTCTGTGATTTATGTCCTTTATATTAAGGACACAATTTGGAACATTTTCTTTAGTTTTATTGGATTTATTCTCAAATTATCAAAGAAAAATTGAAAAGCCCTTGAAAGTAGGTAAGCATATTTTCTCTTAATTAAATTATTCACTGAAATTGTGATTTTTATCGTGTATAGTATAAAAATAATTATAAAATAAATTATAGTTTAAAAACAAACTAAAAATCACGCTTTTTATAGTGAATCGAACTAAAAAGTAAAAAATAAATAAAAATATATATTACTTAAAAGTAACACACATATACAAAATTTAATACTTATCTTGTTAGTTTGTACGGTTTATAATTATGATCGTATTGAAACTTTTTAACCCCATAGTGTATTATTATTCCTTTTAATCATTATTATTTGGGGGCGTGATAAAAAATTATAAATTAAAATTTGGGTGCCAGTAAAAAAATTTGGGGAAAACCATTGTGCTTTTGAAGGGAAAGAAAAACCTTTTTTGTTTGCAAAAAATGTTTCCAGGTGAAAAGAACTTTCCCAAAAAATAAAGCTCCTGAAAATGAAATAGATGTTTACATTTTTGATTCTGAGTGTGCATGAAATTAAATTTTAAAAACCCCAAAAATTCACAGACTCTCATTTGAAAGGGTTTAAGGGGTAAAACCCTTAATTGAAAAAATTTTATTAGATGTAAATGATAAGTTTTTTTATGTAAAAAACTGGATACTAAAGTAAATATCGTTGGGTGGATGACTTAAAAACTAAACCCCTCTTTCAGTACAACCTATCAGTGGGAAAATTTGAGTGGTTTAATTGATTGACTTTTGCCCTTTGTTGGGTTTAAAATATTTTTAAATATAAAAAAAAAAAATCCCGGAGTTTTTGGGGAAAAAATAAAAATTTTAAATTTTAAAATTGAAAAAAGGGCTTCAAAGCTGTCAAAAAAGCACCGAAAATGAAGTTAAATTTCGATTTTTGGGGGGGGCCAAAAAACCGACCACACACAAATGGTAATGAAAAGCAAAGTCATAAAAAAATATTGAAAAAAAAACGGTTTTTTTTAAAAAGCTATTAAAAAATACTATCATGAATAAAAATAGTAGGGGAACATTTAAATAAAAAAAGAAAATCTTTTGGGGAAATTTTAAATTTTCAAAAAAAATTTAAAGAAAAAATTGACAAAAGGGATGAATTTTGGGGACCCAAAACCCCGTGAAAGCATTGGGAGCAAAGTTCTAAACCACAAAACCCCGGGGACTCGCGGAAAGAGGGAAAAAAGGCATTTAAGAGGGAAAGGTTGAAATTTAAAGGGAAAATAATTACATGAAGGGGGGCCCGAGAGAATATTTCTAGGTCTCGAAATTTGGTTTAGGGATATTTTTTTCAAATCAAGATCGAAAATTACTAAATTATCAATATTTTTTAAAAAAGTTTTTTCCCAAACTTTTTGATGAACTGTCTAATTTACAAAACATTTTAACCCTTCGGGCCAGGTCAAATGTTCCTCCTGAACCATCGAGCTTTTTTAAAACTTGACGAAGGATGATGTGCTTTGAGAAGCTTCAAATTTGATTAATATGGGATCAAGCAGCATGTTCCCAGATTGGAGCAACATATGTCAGAATTGGTCCGGGGGGGATGGGTTTTTAGATAAGCAGTTTATTTTCTCTGCTCAATGCAGGTTTCTTGTAAGGGAAATTTTCAGACCAATTGTTTAAAAATTTTTTTCTTTATATGTTATGTTTTGTTTGAAAGTGGGGGGGTTTTCTGGGATAACGCCTGGGTACTTTGGGGGTGTTGAGACCAAATATTATAGGGAGATCGTTTACATAAAATTTTTTTTTGGGGGGCTTTTTTAAAGTTAAAAAGACCGCTTCAGTTTTGGAAGCGTTTATAGCAATTTTTCAGTCATTATACCATTCTTCCAGGAGAGCAATGTGTATGTTGAGGTAATGTGCAATTAGTGTGGGTTTTGACTTTGACCCGTTACCACGGTGTTGTCCGCATAAATACAGAGAATGTTCTGTTTGTGGAATATCGTTAACGTAGAGATTGAATAAAGTCAGAGCCAAAATTGCCCCCTGGGGAATTCCACGGTTTATAAATCTAAGGTTTGAACGGATATTAGTAATTTTAACAGCGAAATTTTTGTTAGTGAGATAGGAATTAAGAAGGAGAATGAGTGTGTGTGTGGGGGAGTCATAATAAGTTTGTAGAGCAGGCCACAGTATGCCATACTCTATCAAACGCTTTCTGTATATCGAGGAAGACCACACCGGTGTGCTTACCTCGTCTTTTACCAGATTTTATATACTCGACTGTTCCGAGTAGTCGGTGCGAAGTGGAGAGCTCAGCTTGAAAGCCGTGCTGCTCCGGGATGAAAAGGTTATTTGTAAGGATGTGGTCATTCATTTTGTTGAGGATAATTTTTTCAGCAACTTTGCTAAGGATGCATAATAGTGAGATTGGTCTATAATTTTGACCGATTGTCGGATCTTTACCTGGTAAGTAAATATTTTGCCATTGTATATTTTGAGTAGGTTTAAAGTTAATCCAAAACTTAGTGTGAAACTAATTTAGCTCTAACTACATATGGTAATTTTAAATTAAAGCCAAATGGTTCCCTTATAATTAATTTGTCTAGTGATAAACTCTGAAATGTTCCTTTGCCTTTTTATGTAGTAAAAGTAAAATGCAAACCAATATTAGGGTTTAGAGGTTGTAAGGAATATAAACTTATTGAAAGAATTGATGCTATTGAATGTAGTATAATAAGTAAAAATGAGTTAATAAAGCAATATAAAGATGTATTTACTGGGATATATAGGGGGATTTCCAAATAAACCATATCACATTACTTAAAATGATAATGCTGTACCAGTAATTCATCCACCAAGACGTGTTCTTCAGGTTTTGCAGCCTAAATTAAAAATTACCTTGGATAAGTTAGAAAAGAAGGAATAGTGTCAAAAGTTAATAAACCAATTGATTGGGTGCAAAGTTTAGTCATTGTAGAAAAACCCAATGGAAATCTGATATTATGTTTAGACCCCAGTAACCCTTAACAGAATAATTAAAAGAGAACATTATCAAATTCTTTGTACGGATGATATCATTAGTAGATTAGAGGGCAAGAAAATATTTTCTGTTGTAGATCTGAAAGATGGTTTATGGCATGCACCTTTAGATGAAGTTAGCTCTCAAATTTGTATATTTAATACATCTTTTGGAAGATACAAATTAAACAAAATGCCATTTGGAATAGTTTCTGCATCTGAGGTATTTCAAAAAAGAAACCAGAAGGTTTTTGGATATATTAAGGGTGTCGAGATTTATTTTGACATTATTGTTGCAGGATGTGATGAGGATTCACATGATGCAATTATGTCTAAAGAGCCAGATCTCTAATCCTAGTTTAATCCAGATAAACTACATTATAGGATGTCTGAGGTAAAATTATATCCAAAAATCGGGTATAAAACCTGATCCAGATCACATTAAAGCAATTGTTGAGATGCCAACACCAAAATCAAAAACTGAAGTTAGGAGACTGTTGAGCATGATAAATTTCCTTTCAAAATTTATACCCAATGTATCTAAAGTTAGTGCCCCATTAAGAGAAATCATTCATGAAAATGTAGAATTTAATTGGGGAAAAAGAACAAGAACTGTCCTTTGTAAACATTAAAGAATTGTTAGCTAAAGCTCCAATTTTAAGTCTTAATGATTAAATAGTAATACAATGTGATAGTTCAAAAGATGGACTAGGACCCTGATTAATCCAAAAAGATCAACCTGTATCATTTGTCTCACGCAGTTTAACAGTGAGAAGAACTATGCACAGATTGAGAAGGA